CCCACCCGAGAGAAGTACAATTTCCGGCGTCAAATAGCGAATTCGATTGGACGCGCTAATGCGCACTCAATATTTACATTAAGTTACTCTTACGAGGTACTTGGAGAGAAATTTAAAAATAATTAACTTTAAAACACACACTTCTGGATATCTGATGCATATTAAAACCGTTATACGCTGATTTAATCTGATTGTAAAAATGAAATACAAATATTTTGAATACATGTTTTATGTAACAGCACAATAAAATGTGGTGAGAAAGAACTTCACGGTTTAACCCGTTTTTTTTTTATTTACATTAAACACATTTTTACATCAATTTGTGTACGTCCTTAATATGCATCAGTATTATGACCGACTGCTATATTGTATATACTACTAGACTCTTTAATTCATAGTCTTTTAATTCATAATCTTTAATTCATTGTGACCTTTGTGGGCCGGAAATCCATCAGAAGAGCTAACTCATATACAAGCATCTCTCTCCGTTTCTCAGTACGTCTCTTGAGGCACGCGTACATGGATACATAAAAATTCGAGTCACTCTTTCAAAAGTTAGCAATCTAGTAGTATACTAGTAGCGTTTGCCACCAACTGAGTTGGAAAACGCTTTGCTATTGTTAGACGTTACACGCTTTACTATACAATAGGAGAGCACGACGACGTCATTAATTTAAGGTAGTGCAAACCCGGTCGGGCCGAAAACGCCATTATATAGAAGTCTGTACGCACCGAGTGTATCCAATCGAATTCGCTAAAAGATTGAAAAAGATAGATCTCGCATCAGCTGTCACGTTCCTTTTGTCGGGAACAAACAGATTGTTTGCATATCGCCGGTGGTGTCTCACGGAATGTAAACTCGCCTGCGATCGTACCGGTTTTAGTGCCTGCGTCAAATCGCTCATTCAACATAAACACGCTCATTCAGCGCGAGCGTACGCTGACTCACAATCAGTGGAAATAAACAACGGAAGGAGAAAAAAAAACATTACCCGTGCGACAAACGTCAAGGTTGCAAACCCAAATATTTCCTAAACGAAAGCCAAAGGATCTCGACTGAAGGCTCGAGAGTCTTTCAAGTGAGGAGACTTGATAAAAGTTCTCAAGAGATAATTCTTACTCTAATACACTTAATAAGCGTAATTTCACATAATGCGTGTACTTAACAGCACATTCGAATTGATACGAATTTCTCGGTTTTTCTAATGATACATTATACTTCCGAGTCTTATCAGGAAATGATTGCGATTCATATTTGTAGAATCATTATTCAACGAGAGCATGACTTTAACTTTTGATCGACCAACGATTGTGAATTTCTAAACATCCCGGAAATATTCCAAAGTACAATTTAAATTGATAAAATTATAGCGATGCACATTGAATTGCGATATAATTATCCAACTGTGATTAATTTATAACGTCAACAAGTAAGAAGTCACAATAATGTGTAATATTAGCTTTGCTTTCCATACGTCACGGAAACTTGCAGGAACATTGCTGCAACGTTTGCAATGTTATTGCAATATCGTTGGAACGATTTGTGCCGTATGAGTTAATCAAACAATGATTGTTGTAAATTACTGTTGTTCGCTTATCCGTCTGGTGAATACTTTCCCGGGAACTGGGACCGTTGCAGTTCCGTCATTTAATTGGCTTTCGATGCCACGGACGCGCGAAAGTAGCGCGACGACGGAAACGCGAGCGCGTAGGTCGCGAAAACGTAGAGTCGCACTCGTTAACTGCCGTTTCACGCGGAAAAAAAATTTAACGAGCCGCGGAGTAGGCGAAATGTACGAAAATATTACAGCGTACTCTCTTAAACTTTTACTTAATCTCACTCTTCGGTGGCGTCTACAGTGAGACTTTAGGGCGTAAAATTGAAGCTTAATAAGCCGTAAGAAATTAACTAATTACAGAGTCTATTATTTTCCTCACAACTGCGACTAATTAATTTCTTAGGACTTAAAGGCTTATCTCGTCGTTTTACGCCTCAAAATCTCATTGTAGACGCCACTTTAAAGACTGAAAATTGAGCCGGTGTTGAAAAAGAGTGAGGCTCAGTTCTCAATTTCAAAAGTCTTTAAAGTGGCGTCTACAATGAGATTTTAAGGCGTAAAACGACTAAGCCTGAAATCCTAAGGAATTAATTAGTCAGTTGTGAGGAAAATAATAGACTCTGTGATTGGTCACTTTAAAGACTTGAGCTTCACTCTTTTTCAAGACCGGCTTAATGTTCATTCTTTAAAGTGAGATTCTACTCCAAAGAATTTAGAGAGTACGTCACGTAACATCATAGATTTCCCTAGTATTTTTATACACGATATTTTTCGAAAATAAAGTCCGGACCGGCAGATACGCCGGAGGCGACGAAACAGACGTTCGCGATAATAGCGTCGATGCAATAGGCAGCACTGCACTTTGCACTGGAGTTGACTGGAGTCGCGCAAGATCGTGTACACGCGCGGTCAGATGACGACGACGTATACACACAAGCACTTGGGGGGAGGGATGTCGCGCTGTTCGTCGCCGTTTTCCACCCCGCGAAACGCGAAGGCATCCCCCCAGTAGTATTCCACGGTCGATAGCGCGTTTCCTGCGAGTCAGGGGTAGGTTGCACACCCTCGACTCCCTTTCGGGGCTCCATTTCTTTTTTTTTTCTCTCTCTCTCATCGACGTACAGAGACAGAACTTTACCTTCGTGTTTTTATTTTCCTTCGTAATTGTCGCCGTGCGTCGTTCCTGAATCGGTGGGGTAGGTAGGTTGGTTAAGACGATTGGACGTCCGCGAGCGGCACCGCGATCGAGCTTAATCGCTACGATCGACCTCGGAGCCTTCTTGTTCTTCTTCTTCTTCCTCTTCTTCCTCTTTCTCCTTTTCTTCTTGGCTCACTTCTCGTCGGCTGCTGCGTCACGTCGACGGAGACGCGACGCGTCGGTTCGCTACTTTCGTTTCCGAAACGCGGCCGTTGATATTTGTCTCCGCGATGAGCTCTCGGGGACGAGACTTAAAAGAGAAAGAGAGAGAGAGAGAGAGAGAGAGAGAGGGGGAGAGAGAGAGACAAAGAAAGAGAGAGCGTGCGCGAGAGACTCGTGGTATCCGCGCAACGGACGGTCCAACGTTTGGGCCGGCCCACCGCTCAGAAACGACGGCGGCAGCAAAAAGAGCGAACACGAACTAACGTCGCCATTGTGCAGCTGACAACTGCGGGCTGGTGGACGAGCGAACGCGAACGTAACCGTTCGAGTCGGCCGGGAGCGCAGCGGCACTGAGTGGCGCTTCGGTGATCTTCGGCCGCGCCGTGGCTTGACGGAGGGACGCGAACGCGCGCCTTCGGCTAACATCGGTCGTCCCGGCAGTTCCGGCGAGGCCGCTCGTGGATCCTGTCTTTTCTGCAACCGTTTGTGTTTCTTCTATTTTACTTCACCCGGTATCGATTGTATCGAACGGTACGTATGTGCACCGGGTATACCGATATCGCGATTCTTTCTTTAATTCGATTGAACGATATTGGATATCTGAACGCAAGCACAGTGCGTATGAAACGTTTTACTACACCCACCAAGGCGATTTTCTACTTTTTAAATTTGTTTTAAATTGAAGCGATTGAATTTGTTTAAGCGTAATAAATTTGTTTAAGATATATTTTTAATATTTTAACGCACCGATAGATCTGTTCGCGTTGTATGAAATTCTCAAATATTTTTGCACTTAAAATGAGATAGACACATATTTTGCCTTCAAAAGAGAGAAAGCGAAGGTATCGAGTGCCAAAAGTGCAAGCAACGCGAACAGACTATAAGGCGATTTTCTGTTTTTTATTTTTTTTTTAATTGAAGCAATTGAAGATATTTAATATTTGTTAAAAATATTAAAGCGCTAATAGTAATCAATTTAATCCGTGCGTTTGCAATCAATTTAATCCAACAGATCTCAAGATGTTTTTAAATTATTGAGTTCGTAAAAGTGACACACGTGTGGAATACCTACGTAACAATGTTCCCATTCCAAACTTGTCACCCTTTTCGGAGGTCAATGAGATGATGGGATGCAGAAGTGTGTCTTGAATCGCCGGAAACGGGAACAGTGTTACATCACGCGTTGCCGCCACACGTGTTACTGTTGCGCACGCGGTTGATCGTTGTCGTAAGAACGGTTGGCTGAAATTGGGAAAGCCAATATTCGCAGAAGCGACAGATGGGTGCCTAATAATAACATCGAGGTACGTAAGAGATACGCGTATCTTATCTGTATCTTTCTACAGAGGAAGCAAACACGCCGATCCACGCGAAAAGGATAAAGTATGATCAGAGGTATCCGGTCGCGAGAGACGCTACTGGCCGTCCCCTCCGACATGTGTAAATACTAATACGTGGACTCTTCGAATCGCGACACGCGGTCGTATCAACTTTGTCAACTGTTTCAACGTGTAAGATACCTGAGTCGAATATGGTCCACCATAATTTATTTTATTTTTTTTTAATTCTATTTATGAGAATATTGAAATAAACTAAGTGAGAATCACAAATCTTTATTTCGTTCATTTACAAAAATAAAATATATTGTTTATATAGAATATTTGTAAATGAACGAAAAAAATTGTTTTTTAACTCTGACATTGGGCCTTATTACATGCATATGAATATAATAAAAAATAAATTAAAAATAACAAAGAAAATAAATAATATATTTTTCAATTAGTTTTAAAATTATTGTTAATCATAAAAAGAAAATTCCTTGGGACTTTACTTTCAAACATTGAAATTATCTTAATCACTTATTAATGATTTATTATTATTTATTAACTATTTGTTATTGATTATTATTATTTATTATTTATCTTTATTAATTATTTACTCTCGAATATTGCAATTACCTTTATCGAAATCGCAAATTATATCTATATATTTAGCAAGAATTTTGGTGGATCCGATTTATTTTGAATATCTATGCACCGAGATTTTTCAATGTGGAAAGATGGTAAGACTGAGAGAAGATCTTAAAAATTCACGCGTATACATTCTCCAAACAAGTGAGATCTCAACGAACGAGAGACTCGTCCGGCGCAACGCGCCCTTGACCTACCTTAACGTTTCTCGTTGCGCGCGGGTGGCACGCTTTAAACAATTGCGCGTATAAGGGCATGTAATTTCACCCACGTATGACCGTGACGGGTCTCCCACACTGTAGAAAAAAAAGTATATAAAATCATACGAACGACAAGTGTAAAAATCGCATGATTTACAGCGGAAATGCATGTACTTTTTTGTAAAGTAATTTTTGCACTTGTTGCTCACGTAATTCTATATGGTTTCTTTCGCAATGAGACTTTAAAAATGTATTAATGGGAGAATGTGACATCAGAGAAATGTTGGAAAATGATTTACAAACCATTACTGAAAGATTTAAAAAACCATTTCAGGAGCGGAAATACGAGTTAACCGTTTTTACATGAAGCAACATGTTATTTTATCTATTTTTTATATTCAAAGTAACAAAAGTATTCTGCAAAATGAATTATATAAATGAATTTATAAATGAAAAGAAACGACGTAATATTAACAAAATAAATTTTCATATTAATTATAAAGCTTTTATAAAACGTGATTAAAGTAATATTGCAGCACGAACATTGCAACACGGTTTAAATTTTAAAAACTTTAGGATAATCAAATTCATTTTCTAAAATTGACAGTTACCTTTAACATGTGTCTATGTACATTGTACAGGTACGTGGTAAACTGTCGATTTGTATATATTTTCTATAATATATATTCCGTACACACACTCCGAAGTGCACACGCAAACCGACTTTAGGTATTGCGGACATGTATATAGCCATACTCGCTTATATTTCGAAATGAAAGAGGGAGGGAGAAAGAGACAGAGAGAGAGAGAGAGAGAGAGAGAGAGAGAGAGAGAGAGAAAAGCATCATTTATTAAGTGCTCTGGGAGTGTAAGTCCCCTCAAGCGCAAAAACACTAGTACAAAACTGATCATGTAATAATAGAAGGAAACATTGTATTTTATACAAAACAATATTGAAAAAGAAAAATTTATATAGAAAGAAAATAAAAGTTCAGGTGCACGTAGACAATTTAGAATTTCAAGCATGCTATAATTTTACTAATGTGTGAGAGAGAGAGAGGGTGGGAGGGAGAGAGAAACGAAGACAGATAAGGCCACGATTGCGTGGCGCTTGGATCGTGTTCGAGTCAGACCAGGCCTTCGTTTCCAAACGTATCCCCCGCGTTCCGGCCGCCGCCGGATATTGGTCAATCCGGGGCCACCTTTTTTTTCATCTCGCACACCATTCTGCATACATGGGTGCCGGGCACAGCAAAGATCAGCTGGACGCGGAGCAAGCGCGATAAAGCACGAAGAAAGAGGATGACGGCCCGATCGATATACTCCGTAAATGATACGCGCCGCGTGGCCGGCGTGGCTTGTCGCAATACGACAGCGCGACGTGACGGCCGTTTTACGAGAGGGACGGGATCCGGAAAGTCCGCGTGATTCGCGCGCGCGTTATCGTCGCCGCCGCTATTGCCGTCCGTCGCGCTGTCGTTTCGACAACGCCGGACACCGTCGACGTTATATCGCAATATTTGTTTTTGCAATAATAATAATAACGGTACGAGATTAACAAAAGTGCATGAATAGTTTGAAAACGCTTGAAGAATATCGTAGCCTCGTCCAGTCGAGATATTTCCGCTCTTATCCAGATCCGCTTGGGGAAAATTTATCTCGGGACATTTTTACTTCTCTGTCCTGCTCAGTTATGTACCGTCGTCAAGAGGAATGTCTTCGCCATTTATTTGCAGTTTTGCAATTCTCTAAAGGAGGAAGATGAGAATGGAAGATATTTCGTTATACGCAATCATGCACAGTACACGATTATATACACTAAATTGATTGTTTATACAGTATCTCGGTTTTCTGCCAACTTTCCGAAGATATAAAAATTGCATACGTTAGGCCTTAACGTGATAAATATTAATATGTCTTATACTTTGTGAATCCATTGTGTGTTACGTTTAATTATTTATTTCTATTTTTTTATTTTTCTAATGTTTAACATTTATTCGTGTTTGTAATATTCCTTTCATTGTGCGCAGAGCCTCTTTCTTTCATCATACACGTGACAATTGTGACCAATTATATTGATTATGACTTTCAAAATCAAGATCAAATGGATAAATTGTAGACTTCTTGAGATTAATTTAGATTTGAGATTAAGACGCTATTAATTTGTAATCATAGTCAGTTCTCTTTAATTTCAAGTTTTTGAAGGTGGTTTAAAAATATAAATATACAATAAAGGAACATATGTGTAGCCACAGCTAAAGATGTTTTTTTTAGAGATAAAGTAATATATTTCGAATTAATATACGTTAACATATAATATTTGTATATACAAAAACATCTTTATCTGTGGCTATATGCTCCTTTATTGTATAGTTCTCTTTAAATCTGAAATAGATAATCATTGGTTCAAATTTAGATAATTCGAGTGTCAAAAAGTAAACAATGATGTAGATCCAATGAAGTAAACATTCAAAGAATTTCGGGAATATCTTTTGTTTCCTTTAAGTGATAAAATTCTTCTGAAATCTACATGTAAATAACGATTATCTTTCTCTCGTTCAGAACAGTCGAAATTATCGTCGAGTAACAATTCACAGAACTGGTTCTGTTTTATCTCCAGGAGGGATGACGACACCACGGTATCCTTTACCACGCGCATGTGTGGTGCTAGTATTTTTAATAAGATTTTTTAATATTTCACGATCTTTCCATACTCGTTGTCATTTATGCGGATACTTCATCATGAAATTGACACGTGACTGACTCCAGTTGCGCCGTTGACGGTTCATTGATTTAGCAGTCTGTACTATCGGGCGAAATTTATTCGGAAATAAAATTTGCTTTTGGTAAACAACTACGTAATTAATGTTCATGTATCTGTGAATTTATTTCTGCGTATTTCGAGAGTTTGCGAATAAATTACGCAGAACAGTCTCGAAAATGTTTCGAATTTGCGAGATATTTGCTTCTTCTTTAATAGGATTTTAATGCGTCGCTTCGTAACACTTCTTAATATAATAGAAAATTATCAGCTAACGTAGTTAATTAAGGGACAATGCTTTTAGAATAAATTTTAAATTCAAATTCTGTTTAAAAAATGATATTAATGGACTAGTTGATTAATAGATATAGCGAGATAGTAATTATTAACTGTGTCTTCGCGTGTCCAGACGATTTCCGATGCACCACAGTTTCGCTTACTTAATATAGATCCTCAATTGACGATTGACTTGGGCATGCGAACATATAAGATTTAATTTCAGATGATTTATTCCTTTGTCAACTTTCTTTGTACGTCGAATTGTGTTCGTATGTGTCGAAAATCCATAAATAATAGGAATTATTTTATGATGAATTGATTTTAGATATTAATATTAATATTCTTACTTTATTTCTTCTCTCGACATCAAAGAATTTGGTTTTAAAATACAATATTACACCTTTGCTTAAGTTATGCAAATAGTTGCGTCGTCCAACGTGCCGCTAAAAATTTTCGGTAATGTTTGAGTGATGAGCTAACGGATGTCATCGCTATCATGCATGCAATACCTTGATTCTCGAACGATTCTGTCAGTGGTTATTTACGCGTCGTGACTTCGTATAAGTTAGTCATCGAGAAATATGCGGAATCCTGTTCGCTGATTAGAAAACAATGGAGGAGATTGGTGAAGGAATGCAAAGATCCCTCCGAATATCTCGCACGTGCGGTGAACATTTTTTTTAATCAATTCAATATTTTCAATTCCTCCAAGTGATGGATTCATTGGGACATAAATTTAATAATTTTTTAAATAAGACTCAAAAAAAGTATAATTTTCAAGGAGAGAATGCGTTCCTTCCTATTTTACGCGAGATATATTTTCGGTGAGAAAAACTTAACTTTTCCAAATTAGTTAAATAATCGACGATTTAAAAAAGCAATATAGTTTTGGCACTTTGGTAAATATATTTTAGCAATATTATTTTCTACCAGACTTTTTAAAACTTAAAACCTTAAAGTTTGAGATTTATTAGGTATTACCACACACACAATTCTTCTCGTTGTACATGATAAAAATATTCACGAATTTAAATTAAAAAATTGTTAAAAATAAAACGAGAAATGTACATGTGTTGAAATATCATATTCATTTT